CTTTGGTGTATTATTTAATTAAATAAAAATTATATAGTGCATTACTACCATTAGTATAAAAAAGTATGGTTAAGTGTCATCGACAATCAACAGCAATAAAAAGATGAACTGGGTAAATAATTTATTTCTTGTTTTTCATGTTTATTCTTTATTTAATATTATAAAAGTAACTAAAATTAAAAATTGGGATCTATTTTGGTTAGTTAAGGTTAGATTAGGTAAAATAAATAATAATAAAAATGTTTCATGAGACATGCACACGAGCAGCTTGAAGTAGATCATGGGTAATGTAATTTGATAGCGTAATGTGAGCTTCACATTCCCCCCCAAGTGATTTATAACTTTTAATGGCATGAATAGTAGTAGTTAGATGTGGTTCAAAAGGCAATAAAAGCTACTTAGGATAAATGAATGTAGTTCCATGTTACAATTTGAAGTCATTCTAGAAAGAAAAAGGGGTAATTTAGATTTATCTTGATTTTTTTTTATAGTTACAAGGTCGGTCAAAGTGACCGACCATGTATAGAGGTACAGTAGAGAAAGTAACAGTTAAAATATAAAGTTTTACTGAAAACAAACATTTGAACTTTATTTAGGAGATTTTAGAGATTATGCAAATGAAATGATATTTTTGAGATGAAGAAAAGTATTTTTAATCTTAAAATGAAAATCAGTTTGCATGTGGTCTAGTAAAAAAAAATATATATTCACAGAAAAATTTTTTTTAGTTTATTAAAAATTCTTCACTAGAAAATATGATTTTTTGTATGTTTACTGAAAGTCTGCCAAATTTTGTGGAGATATACATACTATATTAAAAGTCAGTAATATCAAAACTATATAGACTTTAAATGAGTACAAAGAGGTCACGTGGTTGGTCAAATTGACCGAGTGCATGTTGAGAGAGTAAACCTGAGGTTGTCATTACCTGGTTTTAGAGCGACTTGTGATTGTTAGGTTACTGTAAGCACAAAGATCAGTATTCTGTTGTCTCCCTTAACCAGAGATTGTTTTACAAATTTGAATGTTGAACTATAATTTAGTTGCCTACTGATGATTTGTTTAGCTAGTGAAATAAGATTCTTGATTAAAATTTTGCTGAAAGTGTGCCAGGTTACTAAGAAAATGAATGTTAGTCCCAAAGCAGTATTATCATGTTATCTATTGGCCCAATTTTCAATACATATTCTGTTTCTTTATTGCTTATTGTCCATCTTTTGTGAGTGATTCCCTGACAAGGGGCTTCACTTTTTGTATTAAGAAATTAATATATTTTGCAAACAAACTCATCTTCTTATAGAATCTTAAGCTGGAATATATAGAATAGTATCTAAATTTTCAGCAAATCCACAAATTACAATATTAACCTATCTGGACCACTGAGCACCTTTCTGGTGTTTGTGCACATCTACATTAACTGGACCACTGAGCACCTTTCTGGTGTTAGTGCACATCTGCATTAACTGGACCACTGAGCACCTTTCTGGTGTTAGTGCACATCTGCATTAACTGGACCACTGAGCACCTTTCTGGTGTTAGTGCACATCTGCATTAACTGGACCACTGAGCACCTTTCTGGTGTTAGTGCACATCTGCATTTACTGGATCACTGAGCACCTTTCTGGTGTTAGTGCACATCTGCATTAATTGGACCACTGAGCACCTTTCTGGTGTTAGTGCACATCTGCATATCAAATTTGAAAATTTAATTAAAATTAATAATTCTAACTTTTTCAACAAATTTTACAAGCCATTTATAATTTATTCATAGCAAGTAAATTGGTATGGGAAGTAATTTATGGTTTTGTGAGAAAGTGACAAGATGGGGCTCCTCAGAGAAGAACACAGAATCTAATGTGAAATTTATAAGACTGAGGAACAAAACCACAGATCTGAGAAAAATTTTTAATAATTTCTTAAGACATTCCTCTCATTTTTAAAAATGTTTTCGTGTTTAATTGTATCTGTTTGAAAGCTATGGAAATTTTCTTCTATGACAAAACATCATGTAAGCTTAGTTAAGTTTAGTAAGTACACTAAGCTATGGAAAAATAGTCTGACTTTATTTATTGAATATTATTAAATTTATCAAAGTCAAACAATGTAAATAAATAAAATTATTATATATTGAAAATAAACTATATTTATTAGATATAAAGTGATCTTAGCTAAGAATATTATTTTCAAAAACCATGGTAACTAGTCTGACAAATGTAATGGTGACACCACTGTGAGAAGTCTTTGTTAATTTTCTTGGATTTGTTTTAAGAGTTGTAGATGGAAATGGTGAAAACTGCGGTTAGTAAAATAACATATAAAAAGGAATATGTTAATGAAATTAAAATTAATTGGATATATATATATAAAATGGAACTTTCTGATCATTAGCTACAAAACTGAAATTTTATGACTTAATGTTGTTTTTTCGGAACAGTATCTTACAAAGTAAAAGAAATGACAGCAAAAGTACACCAAATTATAAGATTTGTTTTTGAACTTAAGCTAGGTACCATTTAGTGAGTTTGTCCTAAGTTTAATATAGAATTGTGAAGTATTTCCACTGTAACATAGAGGAAAAAAAAGGGGGGATATCAGTGATGCCCCACCAGTCTAACACAGATTAATAGGTGGATTTTGAAGATGCCATTCTTTGTGTAAATTAATTTAAAAGGTGTAATTTCTTGGATACAGTTGCTGAAGAGACAGGTGATTCAGAGGCTAGGAAGTGGACCTGAGGATGCTAAAGCTATCAAGATTCATTCTTTCTTTAAGCACGTGAGTTGGGATGACGTTCTTGCCAGGAGAGTTGACCCACCAATTAAACCTCATCTTGTAAGTTTATTACTGTTAAAAATTAAAATATAAGCAGTCAAAAAACCTAAACATGTATTAAAAATGCTTTACTTCTGAGGAAATTTATTATAAGGAGTATAATATATAGTTTTTAGTCTCTGTATTCTATCAGTGAAATATTTCTAGTGAAAATAAGTTGTAGTTTATTAATATAATAAGATTCCTTTAGTATATTTCTCTGTTTCAGCATAGTCTATATTATTTAATACCTATTTTTTTAATAACAGGTGAGCGAAGATGATGTCTCACAGTTTGACACAAAATTTACCAAACAAACACCGTTTGACAGTCCTGATGATTCACAACTCAGTGAAAGTGCCAATCAAGTGTTTTTTGTAAGTTGAGTTATGCGAAAATACATCACATCTATTTGATCAAAACTGACTACATTATTATCATGTGCTTAACAACAAATAAGTTATTTTTCTCCCTTTTGTCAATCTTAACCATATTTTTTGTGTTTTCAAGGTTATTTCATTGTATCTGCATTTGTTTATTATTCCTTATTAACTTTACAAAAATTTGATTTTTTTTTTTCATTATTCAAAGGTTATCTAACTTTTAACAAAACTTATTTACAGAACAGATCATCTCAACTGTTCAGCTAATTAATTGCAATGTGTTCATGAGCTAGATTTTGACTAGCAAATTTATCAACAACTACAAATGTATACATCACTAAACAGTTCTTGAATAACATTTTACATTATAAATTTGTTATTAATTAATAATTAAAATAATTCAACTGCACTCCTTATTACTGAGTGTATTTATTGAGTAAGATATCACAACACTCCTTATTACTGAGTGTACTGATTGAATAAGGTGCACCAGTGATACTAATTGTTGAGATTACTCATGGATTAAGGTACTTCATTACTCCTAATTACTGAGTGTACTGATTGAGTAAGGTGCACCAGTGATACTAATTGTTGAGATTACTCATGGATTAAGGTACTTCAGTACTCCTTATTTCTCAGTTTACTTATTGTGTAAGGTACCTCAACACTATTTATTGCTGAATGTACTGATTGAGTAAGTTATCCCAGCATTCCTTATTGCTAAATTTACTTAAGTTTCCTCTGTACTTCTTATTGTTGAGTGTATTTATGGAGTAAGATACCTCAATACTCCTTATTTCTCAGTTTACTTATTGTGTAAGGTACCTCAGTAATGCTTATTTGTTGAGTGTACTTAAGTTACCTCAATACAGCTTATTGCTGAGTTTACTTATTGAGTAAGGTACCTCAGTACTTTTTATTTCTGTGTTTATGCATGCAATAAAAATGATTTTCCAGGATATTGCTCAAACTTGAGCCCAAAACTACTTCCTAATTCAGATCTAATTGAAAGATTATCTCCATTTTCTAATTCTTATAAAAGCTGAGGAGTTCACTTTTGAGTATAAATTTCAAAACTAAATGTTAATTGAAAAATTAAAATTACATGGCTATCATTCAAAGGTTATTCTAAGTCAGATTTTTTGAGAACGATATGCATTTTCTTAAAATGTAGGAGGTAATACAGGCTAAATTTGGGAGCATTTACCACTTTTGTGCACAAACATTTTTGGTACTCAAATTTGAAAAATCATGTCATAAAAAAGTTAGGACAGAAATTAAAAAACCAAAAGATAATAATGCTAACAAATGAAAATCTTTTGGTATTTTTACTTTACCCCAAAACCCATTGGAGTAGATGCACGTAAATATAACATAATATCTGTTAGTTTTCATCTAAAAGTATCTACTTTTTTTTTAATTAACCCTTTCCAGACGAGTCAAGGGTGAAAGGTCATGTCATCATGTTTGTTGACTGTCATTCAAAATTTTATTAAACTACTAATTCTTGAATTTATGTCATTAAGTTTGGTATCAAACTGTAGATTATAATTCAAATTTTAGAATTATACATTATTTAATTTCTTAATTTAAAAGTAAATAAAAAAAAACGACAGTTAAAAATACGATTTT